AGGCTTCCGAACCTTCTGTGACGGCCTTCTGCTTCTCACTGCCACCCTCGCTCGCCGCCGATCGACTCGATGGCGGCTGATCCTGGAGCGAGCTGGCTCACGGCTCGAGAGATCGGGCACGGTATTCCTGCGACTGGGGGGGGGCGGGGGGACTCCTCAGGGGCAGCGATAGGTGGGTGGGGATCTGCTCAAGGGGGAGGCGTTGACCGAACAACCGCCCATTGATCGCCAGCAGGGGCCTGAGAGCCCACCACGCCCAGGAACGGGCGGTCTCGTCAGCGGGAGCCTCCCTGAGAGCCAACGTTACAGCAAAACTTCCAACATTGCGAAACATCTCGACTGGAGCCCGAGGCTCCACCTTTCTGCTGCAGCGCCCGGATCTCAGGACTATCGCCAGTGCATCGGCGATCCGTCGCAGACTCCACGTCGGCGATCTACCGCCGACGTGGAATCGGCAACAGATCGAGGTCGAGGTCGAGGTTAACCCCCGCCCCGAGCCGGTCCCCCCCTGTCGTCCCCCCTCGCTGGAGCTGGCTGTGGGGGGAGAGTGGATGAGAAATCGGCCCAGCACTCGGTTCTGGCCAGCAGAAGCGGGGGGAGGTGCCCCCCTTGTCGCCACGGCTGCGCGCGGCTCGAAGAGCTCGTTAGCCTCGACCCCGCAGCAGGGGTCCAGGGAGCGACTTTGAGTGAACCTGCCCTCGCCCCCCCTCCCCCCTTGACCGATTTTCTTTCGGCCCATCCAGCGCAGATCTATGTCCATGCTTACGATCACACCAGACCTCTACCCGTGCCTGTCATCACACCGAGACGGACAACAGTCAACGCGCCTCGTAAGGACGCGCGCATTCATCTCGGATGCCCTCGTGTCCCTGCCTCTGCGGCCCGCCCTTGGTCGTTTTCACTGGTCGCCCGCCGCCCAAAAAGTGCGAGCTTCGGCCTCCAAGGGTCTTGCGCCCTTGCCACCCATCTTTCGTGCGCGTTTTGAGCGTTTTGACTGCTCGTGCCCATGCCGATACGCTCTGTACGCAAGCCGCCCCGGCTGGGGCTCAGCCATTCATAGGGGAACGGGCAAATACCTGAACATAACAATTCGGAGGTCCGCGTGGATTTCTCGGATCGGCGCTGGACCCCCCTCAAATGGCGCGCGGAGCGCGCCGGGGGCGGCGCCAGAGGCGCCGCCAGGGGGCCCCAGCGCGGATCCGAGGACTCCGCGCGGACCTCCGAGTTTTTATATGTTTCTGTTACTCTTCGTTCCCCTACAGTCGGGGCGCTGAAGAAGGAACCCTTTTCGCTGGGGAGGGGCTCGGTGTTCCTGGATTGTTTCAAAGTTAGCCTCGGGTTTTCCGGAGGGTTCTCATAGGGAATCGAGGTTGAACTTATGGGAAAAAGGGGCCTCGTTCCTCCTTTAGGGTTCCTTGGGTCAACGCCCCGACTGTAGCACCCCCGCGCCGCTCCTGGGCCCCGCGCGAGGGCTCGCGCGCCCCCGCCCCGTGGCCGCCCGCTGGAGAGGTGGTCTCCGGCTTCTACCAGGTCCACGGCGAGCACGCCACGCTGGTCGGGCCCGCTCGGGCGGCCCGCCGCTCTCCATTCAGGAGGGGAAAAAACACACACACACACAGACACAATTGATTGTCGATTCCCCAGAAAATATGAGAAGTGGGGTGGGGAAGACAAACACCCAGAAACCATGGGAAACTAGGGGCAATCTTTTTACTTGTGTGTGGTTATTTGTGTGTCCTGGGGCCCCTTCCTCTCTCCATGCCCGCCGCCCGCTGCCTCTGTTTTTGCAGCCAGCCGCCGGTCTCCGGGCGCTGCATCCGTGCAGGGCTCGTTTCGACTCCTCCGAGTCGATCCGATTCGACTTCGATGGCTTCCGGGTCCGATTCGGTTCGGCTTCGGACTCCGATCCGGGATCCGATTTCTCACTGGAGGCCTACTGGCCCGCCGATGTCTGCCGATCCGACTTCTCCCGACTTGGCTGCCGATTTCCGCCGATCTGATGCCGATCGCCGATCCGACATGTCGATTCGATTCTGGGCTTTCATGCGCTCTCTGGATGCTGTATCTATTTCACACCAGGCGCTTTCCGCCTCGGTGTCGGGCCCCGGGGCCAGCACAGATCGATATCAGGCTCGCAGAGTGCCGCGGGAAGTTGGGTCTGGGGCTCTGTCGTGATTCGTTTTGCACCCAAGGCGGGTCTCAGCGTATGCACAAGTTTCCGATCGAAGACGCCTATTGTGAGTCACCGCCGCCCCCTGTCTTGCTGGAATTGTCCATGCGGCCAGATGTGGTGCCAAGGCTTGGCCAAGCTACGTGCTCCTCCAGCCGCTGTGGAAACCTGTGGGGGAACACTTGGGGAAGGAGGAGGAGGAGGAGGAGGAGGAGGAGGAGGAGGAGGAGGAGGAGGAGGAGGAGGAGGTGGAGGTGGAGGTGGAGGTGGAGGTGGAGGTGGAGGTGGAGGAGGAGGAGGATTCGGATTCGGATTCGGGACGATTGCGAAGCAATAACAAGTCGACTACTTGGGGGGAAGTCCCCTCTCGAATCTCGAGAGATATTCCCTCCTCTTCTTGGTGATCTGCAAGGGAAGACACGCGGATGCCAGGGCCCGAAGCTGCTCGGTCCCGAAGAACCCGCAAGACAGGCACATCCACACCTTAGAAACCTCATCAAACCACATAGAATGACTCTGATGCACCCACCCTCCCGCCAGATGTATCTGTACCCCCGTGGGAGGCTGCAGAGGGTCCCCAGACAAGGGCAGGAGGGGGTGGCAAGCCGTGCCGTGCCACCGCGCGCGCCCCGCCTTGGTGCACGAGTTCCGACACCTCGTGCACTTCAAGCCGTCGTCGGCCACTGCATGCTCCGAGCGGAAGAGGGCGACGGCGGCAGGGCGGGGATGGAGAAGGGGGGGAGGAAGAACAGGGGAAGGGGGAACAGGATCGGCGGCGGCAGCGTCGGCAGCGGACCTGATACGTTCATCCTTTCTCAGAGCCTGCTCGCAATTGATGGCCTCGAGAGTAGATCGAATCAGACGCTTCCGAACCAGGGCAGCCTTACGTTCTACCTGCAATACACGACAGCGGGTGTGCTCGGGCAGCCTGTGCTGCTCCGCTGCCAGACTTGCAAGCACGTCAGCATAGATGTTACCTGCAATCATCCATCTGGGGTATCTTTGCTCGGCAACCTGCTGGGTAGAGAGATGCGAAGAAATCTGGAGGACAGCGATTTTCTCATGAGCACGATGTCTGAGAAGGTCTCCAATCTCCCTCCAAAGATCTGCCAGCTTCCCACTCGGGGACTCCCAACGATGCTGCCACCAACCTCGCACTACTTCTTCGTTGTCTGAAACGAAAACAAGGTGCCCGTCGGTGTACCGCAACGATATCAGAAGAGCCAATAACTCCCCTCGAGGTACTGTCTGAGATCTGCCAGGAAGCGGACCTGCAATAGACTGCTCGCAGAGGAACGGAACGAACTGGTTAACGACAACAATAACCATACCTACGCGCCGAAATCGAGGGTCTCTACTGTCGGGGCCTCGCGAGCGTCCCCACAAATCACGATAGGGTCCTGTGAAGTCCCGCTCCCAAGACAGCCTGTCTCCAAAGCTCCAGGGATACCAGTGGTAAGCCAGCCTTCTTCACACACAGGGGCCTCAACCAGGGTCCAGCTACGGGGAATGAGGCCTCGGTGCCAAAAACACGATTCGAGTTCATGATGAGCCAAGGCTTCCATGAGGAACTCGTCGGACTCCAAATAAATAGGGTGCCCCTTGTTGGCCTCACAAGTCCAGTGACGATGAATGGGGGTCTCGGGAGCTGCTCGACAACGGGGGCACTGCGGGTCGACAAGTAGTGCTGCTTCTTGCTGGCGAGAGCCAAGCCAAGACCCACCTGCTGAAATACCCGAGAGCAATTCTGAAACTTGCCTGCCATGCGAGACTTCTTGCAGCTGTGCCAAGAGCGCACGCAAGCTGTAGTTGTCGGCGCCGCCCTCCGGGGCCAGCACCATTGAAATGTAGGCTCGCTTGTGACCATTGCCGTGCTATGAGTCAGCTCCTGAAATCTCCCATCAACCCTCTCGTCTGGTCCATGCCAACGGGCTTAGCCGATTGGACATTTCAAGAAAACTCTGGCACCCCGTTGTCGTCGCTACACGGTCCATGCCAGAGGTCGGCACGCACAGGATCCCAGCCTAGCAAGAGCAACTGATGTAGCAGAGCAGAACGAGGACCTCGAATATGACGTGTGCGTTGCTCTGGTATGATTCCTCGCAGCTGCCTAAGCACGATGGGCAACGCTTGCGAAATACCCGCACGAGATTGTGGTGACTGGTTCCAAACCTGAAACCACTGCTGCAACTGCAAACTAGGCAAGCGGATTCCTGGATCCATACCTGGCATACGCAAGTCGAGAACCGTCGTCAAACAACGCCCTCTCTTGTTACACCCTGCGACAGCGGCGAGACGACGACGAGCATGGACCAGTTGGTCTCCGAATACCCCATAGGCCTGGACCCCGTACGAAGCAACAGCCTGGGGCCCAACATTCTCCACACGTTTGGTCACCTGATACCTTTTCGAAGCACGGGCGAAACGACAGAGTTTGTAGTTTTGCCGAACCGACTTGACGACTCTTTGCCTGCGAACAGCTCTTGCTTGACGTTTGCCGACACCAGTGTCGACGCCGAGATAAGGGGTTTGCAAGACAGGAGAGATAGAACATCCGCGAGGTCTCGAACGCTTCGCCACGGCCTTCGCCGTGCCGTGGTCAGAACATAAGACAACACTCTTGTCGGCGAGTGTGAGCCCTTCTGTATTAAACAGGATGGTGACATCCTCAATGCTGCTGAACAACTCCTGCTCCACCTTCCTCCTGGACCCCGGGATAGACAAATGCAGATCGTCCACCCATATGCGTTCTCCCATCCCAACATGCATGATAGACAAGCGCTCAAGCACGAAGAATGTGAGGCAACGGGCGAAGCGGGTGCCATCTCGCAGCCCCTGGGTGATGCTTTGCGTGGGCTGAAGCCCAAAGGGTGAGATCCCAGCTGCGACAGTATACGAGGCGCAACGCAAAGTTGTAACTGCAGAAAAAAGCAACACTGGTGGATACCCAAGCTTGAGGGCGGTCAGGACCAAATTATTACACCTGATATTGCCATACAAGCTTTTGATACCCAGGAGGGCCGCACCATTGGTTCCACCAAGCTTGTGAGCAACCTCGGTATCCAGAATTTTCATGTTGGCCTCGATGAGAGGATCATTACGCGCGAAAGCTGCATCCCAGGCAGGGTTGGTAGCCTTAGACCACTCCTTGGAAAACTCGGTCCTGGAAAGGCTCCAAAGCCTGGTAACCATGGCCATGAGGCCGATGACCCGATCGCCCGACGATTTTTGTGGGAAGCAGCCGCCCTATAACTGCTGGAAGTTGCCACGGCCACGTACAGGTGGCCTCTATAGCCTCCAAGATGCCAGCGAGTTCCCCTAACGCTCTGTCAGGTAGACGCTCAAAGTCCAGCGGAGTCAATCGATCGTTTCCCGACCTGGCTCTTGATTTCATGCGACGAGCAGTTCTCCGAATATCTTCGGCGCTAAGAGGGGGTAATTTCTCAACTCTAGCAGTCTCACGAACGACGGCAAAAACTTTTTCCAGGGCATGAGTGTTGAGCTTATCTTGTGCCCAGAGAGAACGATGCTGTGCTACCGTGGCATCTACGATGTCGATCGGATGAAATAAACGCTTGCCGTCCACCGCGAGCTCTTCCGAAGCGCGTGGTGCAGCGCGCAAGCTACGATGCGCAGCGCCGAGTGAAGATTCCTGCGCAATCCAATCCTGGAAAGAACGAATGGAAGCCTGCACTGCGCGCCGCCGTGTTCTTTGTGCTACCTTGCCTGTCTGCGCTCGCAATTCATGCGGTAGATGTATGCTAAGTGTGTCGGTGCTATTGGTAAGATGTAACCAATGCTCCCAGGTGTCATGTCTACTCCCGGGCACCAAGTCTGAGCTGTCCCCATCGGGCAAATCCTGCGAGAGAGTCTTGGCGACGGCCGCGAGATCCGAGATCTGCTTGTTGCCGTTGTTCCTAACTCAATGCCGCTGGCAATGCAGGAACACTGTATAAAGACGTGACCACCGTGTAGCCGCCTGATCTGCGAAGGGACCCACCCCGCAGGAGGTGCCGAGCCATGTGCACTGGGTGGTCAATGTGCCTCGAGCTGTCAGCGCGAGAAGCCTCAGGACCAGAGAGATCCCCATGGTGCTCCATGATGGTGCCTTCAAGAACCTGACCCAAGTACTGTACGTCCCACTGACCTTCAATATAGGAGGCCCTCCCACAGCAAACGCACCTGACGACGACGCGACGGGCCACGCGTCTTCGATGCTTTGCTTGGTGAAGCCCACGTTGGTTCTCTGCGAATCCCAAGTGGCCTGTGGTATGTCGAACGAGGGCTGCTCAGAAGTAGAGACTATTGAGCCTGGGGGGGGGGGGGGAGGGGGGGGGGGGGTCCTCTGCAGCCTCTTTAACATCGTGGGTATCTGGGATGGGGG